GATAGATAGATAGATAGATAGATATTAACAGACAGAAATAAATAGAACGAAAAGAAACTTGGATAGATAGATAGATAGATAGATATTTAACAGACAGAAATAAATAGAACGAAAGAAACTTGGATAGATAGATAGATAGATAGATAGATATTAACAGACAGAAATAAATAGAACGAAAGAAACTTGGATAGATAGATAGATAGATAGATATTAACAGACAGAAATAAATAGAACGAAAGAAACTTGGATAGATAGATAGATAGATAGATAGATAGATAGATATTAACAGACAGAAATAAATAGAACGAAAGAAACTTGGATAGATAGATAGATAGATAGATAGATATTAACAGACAGAAATAAATAGAACGAAAGAAACTTGGATAGATAGATAGATAGATAGATAGATATTAACAGACAGAAATAAATAGAACGAAAGAAACTTGGATAGATAGATAGATAGATAGATAGATATTAACAGACAGAAATAGATAGAACGAAAGTGACTTAGATAGATAGATAGATAGATAGATAGATAAATAAATAAATAAATAAATAGATTGTAGTTGTTTTTCTTTAGTTCCTATTCCACTGAATCATGAGTTCGCTTTTCTTCTTATTCTCCGGATTCGTTAGTAGAAGCACGTTCCATTTGCTTTAAGTCTATTCATCATTCTCCATTCACGATATGCATTGGAGTTTATATTAATAAACCTTTTTCTAATTTACAAATGAAAGAAAAAAGAAACAGAGAAAAAATTACTTTCTGGTTTTGGCTGTTTGACAGTCAAATATATGAAAAAGAAAAAAAAAATCATTCAAAATCTAGGCACGTATATGCAAATGAAAGCATGACTTTATTTATTAACTTTGTCACACCTGTTCTAAGTTATCGATTTTTATGTTTCTTCATGTCTTTCAATCAATCAGTCAATCGTTCAGTCACTTAATCAATCGATAGAGGAGTTCGTCTAAATAACTTTTAGTCATATCTACTTAATTATTTCATCCAGTTCATTCTTATATAATTTTCTCTCTCTCTTCCGCTTCCTATATATATATATATATATATATATATATATGTATATATATATATATGTATAAATTTGTATCTCTCACTCATTATATATATATCTGTGTCTCTCTCTATATATGTGATTGTGTGTATATACACACACACACACACACATATATATATTTGTGTGTATATAGACATACACACAAGCACATATATATATAGAGACATATACATATATATATATATATATGTATATATATATATATATAAAATAATTATATATATATATATATATATATATATATATATATATATATATATATATATATAAAAAATAGACCAGAAACGTCCAACGTTGACTTTATATTAACATTAATACAACATAATTGCATATTAAGATTTTTGTTTGTTTTTTCTGTATATTTTTCTTCATACTGTCGGATCTATATCCATATATTTGCTTACATACTGTCTACTGGAAATACAAACCTGAATTTACTTTATAACATGGAAGACTTCAAGCTTGTACGAAAATATAAGAATCTATTGATCAAGTAAGGAAAGGATTTATTATCGAACTGTTTTTAAAATTGTTCCATCGTTCTGATATTTTGAAATCATTTTTGATTTGCTTTGTAACGTGGAGGACTTCAAGCTTGTATGAAGATATAAGAACCTATTGATCTCTGCGTATTCCTATATCAACGGAAGGGATTTTTGAACTGTTTATATAAAATAGTTCAATCGACTTTTTTAATATTTTAATATTTGGAAATCATCTTCAAATACGTTTTCACAACATCGCCCACGTGACGACAACGTGATCATATTTAAACGGAACGCTGATCTTATATAAAAATTTCAGTTATCTGTTTGGATTAGTTGTGCTCTTATGTCCATCGTCTTTTCGTGTTGAATTTTTATATGTTCTAATGTTAATTATGTTTAAATGAAAATGTCCTGAAGATGGTCTAAAATAGACCGAAACGTCCGACGTTGACTTTATATTAACATTAATACAGCATAATTGCATATTAAGATTTTTTTTTCTGTATATATTTCTTCATATATATATATATCTGTGCCTCTCTCTATATATGTGCTTCTGTGTATGTCTACACACACACACACACACACACACACACACACACATATATATATATATATATATATATTTATTAAAGACATTTTTATGTTTAACGTTCTTTTTTATAGATACAAGTATTTAAGTAAATGCTCTGTTTATAATAAACAGTATTAAATAACATTTGCCGGCCTGAATGTCCGAGAAATTTTCATAGAAAATATTCGTCCTTTGACGGGATTCGAACCTGCATACTATACGGAACCGTCATTTACGCTGACGTGCCTTAACCTCTCGGACACAAAGGAGCTTTCGGTAGGCAAGGTCGAATTTACTGCTTATAAACTTCAATCTTCCATGAAAAAAGAACGTTAAACATAAAAATGTCTTTAATAAATAAATTGTCGGACTTTTGTCCATTTCTTAATATATATATATATATATATATATATATATATATATATATATATATACGCCTGTGACTATCTCACATTGTGTTAATTATTTCACCCAATTCAAAGCATTAAAGCCACTAAGATTCAATGGTTACTGATTGTGGGAATAAAAATAGAAACGTTACTAAGAAGCGAGAACAACAGGAGAGTAAATTAAATTTTTGAAGATTGGAACTTATTGACCCGGAAGAGATTTCCTCAAGTGCAAGAAAAGAAATTGTTAGCATGGTTACATCTCGCCATTTCAACCGTAAATTGGTGAGACCTTATTGCCAATCCAGTACTGCTCTTGAATTCATAGTGTCTACGTACGATATTAGTAAGGAATTCATCAGCACAATTACTATCAAGATATTTATAGAAAAGCCACGGTGAAGTAAAATTACGGCGGTGGGAAATTGACTGAAGCCGAGATGCAAAGTCAGGATCAATAATGTTGCTGACTTTTATTTAGATTTTATGTGGAATCTATACATATATATATATCGGGAGCACAGGACCATATCTGGCAGCAATATTCAAATCATGGATGAACGGTAGACTTATAAATATGTAAAAGAATTTCAGTGAACCGACCTGATTGGCTGAAAACCTTGCAATGATTCAACATTATGTTTCCACTTCATGTCAGCCGAGAATGTTAGTCAGAGAAAGAGCATCGATTCACACACATGAAGGTTATCATCATCCGTGCTTGTGGGAGGCAAAAAAAGCGTCTTTCAGATGATTAATACATAGATGTTTCAGGCGTTAAAATTAACTAGTCGTTACCTACGCCAGTTACCAACAGAGTGTAGATCATTTTGGAGATCAGCTGCCAATTTGACTCCATCGAAGTGGTCACACTTACTATCGAGACAGGACTTAATATTGTCATCAACATAGATCTTAAGTTGAGAACTTATGCCATCAGGAATGTCACTGAGGAAAAATAAGAACAAGATAGAGCCTGGTGGGGGCATACTTGCATTAGTACAAAAAGATTTATAATTGTGACTGTTCTGAACATTTATCAATTTGCGATTTGATAGGAAAGACTGAAAAGATTTTTAAAAATTCCTCCAGCCTTTCAACCCATGAAGAAGTCCAAGATGTCAAATGCCGCAGTCCGGACTACGAAACGTCTTATCTAATGTTTGATAGACTCCCGACAATAACTGTTAATGCATCAGCAGTCGACATATTTCTCTCTCTCTTCATATATATATATATATATATATATATGAAAAGTGTATATAAATATAAATAAATGTATATATGTATAATTATTTATATATTATATGCGCGGTACTTATTAGAAAGCGCTCAATATCAGAGATAGAGCTAACATATTTGGTTGGATGGATGGATGTGAGTTTGTGACCCTGGGTTTCACGCTTTAGCGATCGTCAGACAAAATGATTAATGTTTTAAAAAATTGGGGTTTATGTAGATTGCGTGTATTGGTGTTATTGTGGAAGTGGTGGGGGAAATTTCGTCGTTTTGTCATTCATCGTACTAACGCAAACATCGTTGTATGCAGACACATATACACACTTGGTCGTCCGTCCATATGGGGGCAGTTTCGGCTATGACACATGTATGTATACGGGTGGTGCTATGTCTATACATACGCATTTGTATGTTGAAATGTTGAAATTTAAACATTGGAAGTGTGGCGGAAATGTCTCGTTAATGTCTCGTGAATGTATCCATGTCATAATATGAAAATATTTTTTTTTTTTTTTTTTTTTGAAAAATATTTCCTCGCATGTATGTATATACGTGTGGTGGGGTTTGTGTAAAATTATGATAGGTAAAAATTATTATTATAATTATTTATATTTATTTTTAAATTTTTGAAAAAAATGGGGGTTTATTTGTTATATTTAAAGCTGGTTATTTGTTTGTTTTTGGTGACTGTGTATATGTAACAGGTAAAAATTTGTAATCCTTATTGTTTAATTTATATGGTGATGTTTAATATACTGGGTTAGAGGGTGGTTCAATTTAATAACGGGTCTATATGATATGATGTGATAGTAATGTTTCAAGGGATACATTTGGTTGGATTGATGTGAATTAAGTGACCCTGGGTTTCACACTTTTTTGTCTGACGATCGCAAATGCATAAAACCAAGGCTCAATCAACAAAATATGTTAGCTCTATATCTAATATTGAGGGCTTTCTAATAAGTACCGCACACACACACACACACACACACACACATATATATATATATATATTTAGCGACAGGCTATGTCATGTTAGATGCAATCGTCAGGCCGCGTGTGTTGGGTTTTTTTCGACGAAAATTCCAACACTCGCGGTGTTGACTTCAATGTTGACTTTTATATTTATATTTACATACGCTCTATCTCTGATATTGAACACTTTATCCCATAAACATAGCACACTTTAAAAACTATATTTCAGAATCTGGTATGCATCGAACATAATATGATGGCAAGTGTTGGTAATACAAAATCTTACTATCTACTTAATTTGTTATGAGACCACAAATATAGAAAACTTCATTCCACTAGCGATGATGTGTGTAACTGGTTTACTTAATAGAAAATGGTAAGTGTAATCATGATCTACGGCAATATTTTGTTAATTATTGTTTCACGGTAAGGCGATACTTTCTCAGTAATATTTTACCTTCTTTTTTCTTCTTCTTCTTCTTCTTCTTCTTCTTCTTCTTCTTCTCTACCGCCACCTTCTCCTCCTCCATCTTCTTCTTCTTCTCCTCCGCCTCCTCCTCCTTCTTCTTCTTCTTCCGCCTCCTCCTTCTGCTTCCTCTTCTCTTCCGTCTCCTCCTCCTAGCTTCTACTTCTTCCGCCTCCTCCTTCTGCTTCTTCTTCTTGTACAACATTCCTTCATGATTTGGACTATCATGGACCAGGAGAAGTTTCTATACTCTATATCTTTTAGTAATATGTATCGTGTTGGTATCCCTCCTTCTCTTTATATTAAAATCAAATTACATAAGGTCGTCCTGCATCTTAGTCCCTTTTATTCTTTGTTTCATCAGTTATTAACGATTAGACGCGCTGGAAAAGCGAATGGGTCCGAATGATAGGGACTTGTGTGGCATTGTTAGCTAAGACATTCTCTTTATTATGACAATTTCCCTGTCTATTCTCTTCTATTTGATATATTTTTTTCTCTTCAAATTCTTCTCCTTCCTCTTCTCTAGTTTCTATTTACTCATCATTTATTTATTTCTTTCTCTTTTATCATTTTTTCTTTTTTTTTTCTTATTTTGTTTTGCTTCTTTATGTATTCCTCCTCTTTTTCTAGTCGTCATCTCATCTTTCTGCATTATCTTCTTTACGTCCTATTGCATACATTTTTTTTTATTTCTTCAATAATTCTTTATTTTCCTTCCTCCGCCTCTCTCTCTCATTCATTCAAGTTCCTTTTTCTCCTCTATTTCTTTTTCTACTTTGTCGCCTTTCTTTTTTTCTCATCGTACTTTTCTTTCTTTCCTTTTTCTTTTTCCTTTATCAAATTCTTCCTCTTCTTCTCCTGTTCATTTTATTTTGCAAGACGTCTCTAGATAATCGTTTCCAAAATAAGGCTAATCGAATTTACAATTAAAAAAAAAATGTTATTCTAAACAAGTGACAAGATCAAATTAATTAAGTAGATTTAATCTTTTTTAATTAATGAATAGTTGCAAATGTTTTCTTATTAGATTCCTTTTCCTAAAGGGCAATTGTAATAATCCTGACTGGCACTATTAACATTTGACGGATAACAGACAAAAAAAAAACCGAATACTTATATGCATGTATGTAAAAGTATGCATGCAAGAAAATGTTAATTAAAAGATTATCTAATGCTATGTTGCTTCAGGATCTTCTTGCTATGAACGTCATTTGGAATTCAGGTTGACTCCGGACATCAACTAGAAATCAGATATACGATCCATCACTAAAGACGCTGGAAAAATGGTCAGGTCCTTGTACCGATCCAGGAGTTACCTGACACTTCCTACCAGACTTTATATTTACATCAATCAGATTGAATGACGAATTGAGCATTGTTTTCATATCTGGGCTGAAGATGGCCATTTCTCACTTTCCATTCATGACTGATTTCAAAATCGGTCACGTTGTCTTGTGGGGAATGACTTAGCATCTACTCTGCAACTCATCTCTTAAAGTTGCTCTTGGCTTTGTTTAAACCATTTCTAGTTCTTTGTCAAATCTTCTGACGAGAGCCATTCTTTAGTTATGCATGTTCGGAGCTTTACAGCTTAATCACAGCCGAATCACCGCATTCTCTTTGTATTCCATTTGTAAGTGCAAACTGCCACTCAGCTAGCTTCTTCACACCAAAACTACATTGTGGACCAGACTAATACGTTAACGTTTTCTCGAAGTCTATAATATTAATTCACTTAAGTTCCATGTCAGTCATTATCTATTAAAGCTTAACCTCAAAATTTTCACTTTCTTCTTCCATGGCTTCCGACCATACCACAGTCATTCAGTAAACGTCTACCTTAAGTATCTATTATGCCTTGTATAGAAATTTTCTAAATGAACATGATTTCCTGTAGTAGGTATTTCAGTTAGTTGTACCATAATATATTTTTTATGTGCCCTATAGTTAAATTTCAACTATTTATTGTCGGGCTTGTTGTGGTAGTATTTTTTTATTGATTGTCATCAGTTAAGTTCCAGATTAGTATTAAACATCCGAATGTCAAGCCAGGTTAGTGACAAATTTTCGAAGGTTAAGACAGATTAGTATCGAATTTTCGAATGTTAAGTCAGGTTATTATCAAACTTTCGAATGTTAAGCTATGTTTTATCATACTATAGAAGTTTAAGCCAGGTTAGTATCAGACATTGAATATTAATTCAAGTTAGTATCAGATTTCGAATGTTAAGTCACAATTGCATCAGATTTTCCAATTTTAAGACTGGGTAAGATCAGTTCTGCGTCAGACATTATCTATTATATTTTAGCCTCATAATTTTCACTTTCTCCTTCCATGCCTTACATCCATACCACACGTCGTTCAGTAACCGTTTACCTTGAGTATCTCTTGAGCCTTGTAGTGAAATTTTCTTAATGGACATGATTCCTGTAGTAGGCATTTTGTTTAGTTGTACCATACTTTCGAATATTAATCCAGGTTAGTATTATATTTTCAAAGTTTAAGCCAGATTAGAAGAAGACAGTCACAACAAGACATCATAATCGTCCTTTTATCAAAGTCTATTTCTAAAAAATATCAAGAGACCATTACTTATTTTTTTATTTTATTTAGTGAGATTTTGCTGGTTGAAGATCGATACAAAATGTCGACGGCAAAATTGATTTCAAATGATATATTCTTAGTCGAAAAGTGAACGGAGTTTAAAGTGACATTTCTGATAGATTAAGCGAGTTCCTGCATAGAAATTTTTAAAATTCATTAATAAATGCAGTACATAACAATTTGTATCTATGAAAATGTCTTTCATTTGTAAAAATAAAATATTTTTAAACTCTTATGAAAAATTGATCTACAGGCAATTGTACGAATACTGTAAAACCCATTTAGGAAAGGAAATGAATGCTTTTTTTTATATTCGCAATATATTTGCAAACTATGGTTTCTTTCCTTCTTTCTATCTATCTCTCTGTCTCTCTCTGTCTCTCTCTCTCTCTCTCTCTCTCTCTATATATATATATATATATATATATATATATAGAGAGAGAGAGAGAGAGAGAGAAACTTATATATGTCAAACATGTTTCGTTGAATATGAGAAAAAAGGAAAATTTGATTAATTATTTTGTTGAGTTTTCTAGTATTCTTAATTTTTTTTCGTTTGGTGGAGGTAAGAGAAAGTTATAAATTGTCTGCAATGTCTATTGTTCTAAAAGTTTTCGGTCAATTCTTTAACCATTTTCAAGGAGTTTATTGTTAATTTCTTTTCATGATTGTCATTTAAGTTGTATTTTTGTGATCCATATTGTATGATAGTAGTGTTATTACGTGCGGTGTGAATGGATCGTGGCTGGAATAAGAGTTGGCATGTTCCTTTTTTAAGAAACACCTTTAGCACATTATTTCCGTTGTTAAATAAAGTGAGATTAATACTGGGTGCCAGATGTTTTATATAAAATAATTCTCTCTCAGCGAGATGTTTTCGGTTACGTGATTTAAGAAGGATGATCGTGTTATCAAACAGAATTTTCCTCATACGTTCTTCTAGATTGTGGGTGGCTAAATGCCTTTTTATGACACCTTGATCAGATGAGTAAAACATGAGATGCCTGCTCATGTATATACTGGGGTGACCGAGATAGCTATTTGATTTATGAAAAGAAACACATTCTTGCAGTGTGCAGTTAAATTGATACACTATATTGGTCATCGCTAGTTTAGATTTAATAATGTTTATTTTTTGCTTAGTAACGACGAGATCTGTGATTTTCCATTTTCTGTGCTTAAAATCTTAACCCATTTGTCGGGATTTACGGCTGAAACATGGTGTTTAACAATTCATTGCATGGTGAGTTTACAGTAAATTCTGCTGATGTGTTGTTTTATTTTATTTTTAGTACTTGCGTTATGTATTTTTTGTAATAGTTATATATTCATATATATAGATCCTGTTCAATATGTGACGTCCTTGTCGCAGCGTCACTGTGACGTCCTTGGTCGCGGCGTCGGCTGCGACGTCCCTAAACACAGCCTTCTCTCGCTCCTCGCTGCTCCGTTCGGGTGTCGCCGCTCCACAACGTGACGTCCGCCTGTCGCGTCAGTCGTGTTGTCTCGTCCTGTGACGACCAACTGGCTTGGTATCGGTCGCGGCACCCAAATGTGACGTTCTAACCTTTTGGTGATTCAGATGGGAATCTGGTTAGATTCGATATCAGCCTCGTCGTTCCCAACTCGCTTCCAACGCCTGGTTTCCAAAGTAACTGCAGTGATCTCCAGTCTGCCTACCCACGTTGTGAATTGATCTTAGGCAGACGAGATCAATCAGTAGTATGCAAATCGGGTTCAACGGGGGTGACACCGCACAAATATGCATAAAAGAAAATAAAATGATAACTCAAAAATTCAAGGTATCAAAAAAAAGATAACAAACTTTATGTCTAGTTGTTGGATACATAGGACTGCGTTTATTTCCCGACCCGTTCTATGGATTGTGACACGTTGTTTTCCGTTAGGCGAGTTTGAACACTTCAAGTTGTTTGCTCTTTAAGAAATTGGTTTTTCGGTGTGTCTTCGGGCGAAAGTCGAAAAAAACTTATTTTGGTGGTCTGGATCTAAGTCGCTCTTCAAATTAATTGTTCTTGGATTGAAGAGGAGTCCGGAATTTGCGCGAATCTTGGTCAGCTATCCGCGAGGCGGGAATTCTCTCGAACCGAACTGGAACTCAACTCGAACTTAACTCGAACTTAACTGATTTCTGCTCGCTGCGACTTCGCTTATATGGACGCCGACCAAAACCGGGGTGGGTTTGTCGACGCCGGGGGGTCCTCGATAATTCTAAATACATATCCACCTCTTTTAATTCTGGTTTTAGAATTTTCCCACTTTTTTCCATTTTGGGGAGCCTTCTCTTACTCCCACCCTCTCACCATACTTCGGAGGGGCGTGAACTTCCCTCCCCACTTCTTCGTAGCAACCTCTCATACCCATCCTCTAGATGGGCGGTGACAGCCTCCTCCGTGCGTCACGTGATCACCACTCGACCAGTGATGTCTAGTCGGGCGTGTACGATTCCGCGGCTTTGTTTCAGGAAAAAAAAATATCTTGCTTAACAAAAAAAAAATTATCTTTTCCTTTTCTTTCTTTTAATCGCAGTTATCATTTTCTCTAGCCGCAAACAGAACAATACGAACGACGGTGGTCATAACTCTTGTTCCCACCTGGGCTTCGTCAGTCATCTTATCGCTAATTATCAGAATGGGAGGTCTTTTTAACATTTCTAAGTTCCCATTCATTTTTTTCGGTACACATTTCTGATAACATAGTTTTATTATCGCAGGCTAAAGATGTTCCGTCGAAAGAAATCGGTCAGTGGTCACCTCGTGTGCGTCTTTTGATACAATTAATTTTTCATATCTATCCAAAGCCCTATAGTTCACCTGTGTTTTGTCAATTATCAAAATAACATTTTAAATTGGATTTTTCTTTGGCTAGTCGGTCTGGGGTTTGCTTAATCAGATGCTTTCCCGCACCAGAGGTTTGTTTATGTATCCCAGATAACACAGCCCGTCGCCAGAACACACCCGATTCCTTTATCCACTCAGAATTTCCCTGCCATTGTAATGACACTCTTTCGCCATTTATTACTTATCAAAATATCCTTTATCCATTGTCTCTTAGCCGTGGTGTTCTGCTTATCATCCACACTTTGGGTCTTCGCCTCTCCTTTCCTTTCTTTTCTTTCTTTTCTTTTTCTGCCTTGGTAAATGGTGCCACAAATATGTACTATATTTATATAGAGGAATAAAACTAGATAATGAAAATATAGCGTTTATAGATATAGTGTGGACATAGGAATGAAAATTACAGAATGACTATCATGTTCACGCAGAAATGCTATCTATCTATTGATGTTTATGAAGATATGGGTTTGGTTGGGTTGGGTTTGATTTATGGCATATCAACCTCGATAGGTTATTTAATGCCGACAAAATTTTTATTACTGGTAATATTTTGTTTTGTCAAAAATCTATTTCTGGTAATATTTTTTTCTTCAAAAATGTATTGCTGGTAATAGCTAATTTTCTTTAAGAAATTATTGCTGGTAATAATGTTTTACAAAGTATTTCTAGTATTAAAACCTATTTTTACACTTTCATAGTGTTTTGACCCCATTTTGGGGGTTAACTATTTGCCCATAGCAGGGGCTCTAACAGGTGCTACCACTCCGGATCAGGGTGGACCTGGGAACACCAGCAATTAAGAGGTGGTACCAAGCTCCTCAAAACTTCCTGATCAGATCCCTTGCTGTTGGACGTAGTTTATCGTCTTACCTGTACGCGTATGTAGTTTATGTCATACCGAGGGCGGGAAGATATGGGGATACGTAACGATTGATTATAAACGTGAATAGTTTAAGATTGTTGTGTTTTGGGGGTAGAATCATAGAAAAAAATTGGTTTGAGTGGAACTTCTTCCTTAAAATTGGAATAAGAACAGAAGGGGTAAGTTAACGATTCCTTATCCATCTCTCCATCTATCCATCGCTCCATCTATCTATCTCTCGTCAACTGTTTGTATCCCAACATATCCGCATAAATTTTGCCTCTTGGGTCTTGCACAGGGTGAAAGTGATTATATAAAATCTATCTATCTATCTATCTATCTATCTATCTATCTATCTATCTATCTAAACTTGTTCCTTATCTATCTATCCATCTATCAATCTATCGTCAACTGTTTGCATCCCAACATATCCACATAAATTGGGTCTTGCACAGGGTGAAAGTGATTGTATAAGATCTATCTATCTATCTATCTATCTATCTATCTATCTATCTATCTAAACTTTTCGTTATCTATCTATCTATCCATATATCGTCAACTGTTTGTATCCCAATATATCCGGAAAAACTGTGCCTCTTGGGTCTTTCACAGGGTGAAAGTGATTGTATAAAGTTTATCTATCTATCTATCTATCTATCTATCTATCTATCTATGTAAACTTGTTCCTTATCTATCTATCTATCTCTCTATCTATTTATCTATGTAAACTTGTTCTATTATCTATCTATCTATCTATCTATCTATCTATCTATCTATCTATCTATCTATCTATCTCCAACCATGTGTTAAATTGTATGCCTCGTCTCAGGAAAAAAATCATTTTTATTCATAAAAAATATTAATCTAATATTCACTCCGGCCAAAAAGAATTGTTCTTAAAATCCAAAATATGCTGAGATTTAAATATCTTCCAAAGGTTTGATAAACCAAAAAGAAAATCAATTAATCTTTAGTAAATATCAAACGATCTTTTTTAACTATATAAAATGTATTATTTTTTTAAATTATATTAAAATGAATAATCTAAATCGAACTTTAATGATGTTGAACTTTGTCAGGCTAGTCTTGTTTTTGATGATGTGATCAACCGCCTTGTTCATAAAAGACCCAACGCGTTTGCTGATCACATTAGGGACGCTGATTGGGCAATATTGTGATCGAAATAACTACTCAGCAGCATTCCTCAAAACTAGGCAAATAATTTCCTATTACTTGGGAAAGATTTCTCCTTCAGGCTGCGGGTAACAAATCTGCCAGGATTTGAGAGAGCTTTGGTCTAAGGTTCTTATGAACAATAACACTAATTTCTGCTAACAGTTTGCTTTCATAAAATCAATGTGTTTAATCAGTCTGGAAACTTACCGAGCCGAGATGGTGAAATCATAATGCTTGTGATCCGTATGTGGGAGAGAGTGTGGTAGACGATAAGCTTATTCTACTCGTGTGGAATTTATGGCTAAGTTCATTGCAAAGAGTTGAGACTTGACTGATGAGGAGGAAATAACTCCTGGACCATTAATAACTATAGGCAAACACACACACACACACACAAATATATATATATATAAAGAAATATAGTCTTAAGGTGTGCTATATTTATGGGATAAAGTGCTCAATATCAGAGATAGAGCGTGTGAAAATATAAAAGTGAACATTGCAGTCAACAATGAGAGGCGACAGTCTGTTTCATGCTCGACGCATGCCATGATTACTGCTTGCATGAAACAGACTATCGCCTCTAAGTGTTGACTTCTATGTTCACTTATATATATATATATATATATATATATATATATATATATATATATATATATAAAAAATCAGGAGGTCAGTTGAATCCGCTACGTTGGTTTCAACCTTACAGTATACACAGGCGATTTTTATAAAATGACCTCTAAACGCTTTACTTTTTTTTAAAAACTAATGAATGCTATATTATTATATATTCTAGCAATTTTTATCACATGAACTCTTAACGTTTTATTTTAAAATAAAACAACTAATGAACCATATATTTTTATATATATTAGCGTTTGTTTATTTATTTTTGAAAATAATAATATGGCGTTCATTAGGTTTTGGGGTTTTTTTTTTAAAGCGTTAAGAGGTCATTTGATAAAAAATGCCTGGGGACACCGTAAGATTGAAACCAAGATAGCGGATTCAATTGACCTGATTTTTAAAGTTGAAAATTTCACATGTCATTTTTGATTTGATTTGATTTTTTTTTCACACATTATGTTGAGCACTTTTTAACACTACTGTTTCCTGGTCTGATTCAACTCTGACCATTAACCTTTTATGAATTATATATATATATATATGTATATATTATATATATATATATATATATATATATGAAATATATACTTATTACTAAGTAAATGTTTATTTGTTAAATAATGGCAATATCTATCTGGACAATTAAAACGAAGTCTGGTCTGTTCTACATAAATGTCAACAAACGGCAGCCATTTTAATGAACGTTTTTGAATATAGTCATGAGCATATTTGAAAGTTATTTCATGAATAAAGAGAAATGTTTAATGACAAACAATTCACTAAAATAACGATAAAATAGAGTAAATTCTCATCTGTAAACGAGATTGTTGTAGATACTGTGCATTTCCAATACAGATGTGTTCCTTATCAATAGGGATGCTGTGAAAATAGTTCCTTTTTTCTATGATATTTTAGGCATAATGGCGACGCAGAAATGTTATAAAACACAAGTCATCGGTTCCTAAATCAAGTGGGCAATCATGCCATCCGTTACCTAGAATGCTTTTTAAATAAACTCATAAGAAAAATCAAAGGAAACGACAGCAAACATTAAGAATACTCATTTTTCAAACGTTATTTACACCAATGGATTCCATCCTACATTCCAATTGAATCGAACTAATCCATAGCGGCTTCTTATTGAAAAGAAGGTCTCAGCTTGATATGTGTTTTCTTGTTTTGCGTTTAGCTTATATGTAGTGAAGTAATAGACACGTTGCAAGATTCAGATACTGTTGGGTGACTGGCCAAACATCCAATGTTTTTTCTTAAACCAGCTACGTGGAGATATACACAAGATGATACCAAACGCTTTCAGAAAAAAAAGAAGATGATTGATATGAAACGAAAATACCCAATGATATTCGGCGAAAACAACAAATGAATATTTGAATAAAATAGGTTTCAAAGACACACATTTGATGAAGTGATCAACTTGGACAGGCAAACATTTCCTTATTGAAAATTTGTGGAGCCTACTGAAGAGGAAGTTTTAACTTGGCGGACGGCAATTTATCACCATTGATAAACTTAAGAATGATATTTCCGATGTTGAGCTGCCAGATTCATATTAAGAAATAGAACCGCCCAGTAAATTAATTGAAACAAAAACAAAGAAAAGGGAGCATATATTTTACAGAAAATTTATGTTTATGAAGCTGTCATTAAAATGACAGTTTTCAATTTTGGGCGCATTAGTTTTGTCTTTGTATTGTTCGCGAAATTTCTGTAATTATAATTAGAAATTACAAGATAATATTGAATCCATCATAAAGATATCTATTCGAAAAATCTTACATGATATTTTATATTATTTTCGTTCTTTCATTCTTCTATTAGAGCCTATTCATCTATTGTTGAAACTTGACTAATGCATGGAATAATAATACAACACAAAATGTACTTAGGACAAAATGTATTGAAACAAGAAAGTGTACACAATATTTACATATAGTCTTTTGTATATTCCTGGTAAGACCGTTCCTGGAGAATGTGTTGACTTAGTCGCAGTCGGGCAGAGTCTCTGGATTGAATCTCTTGATTCCTCCCCTCGTCTTCCCGGTACCAACCATATTTATATGGTCGGTACTCCACTATGCAAATTAGGTGGATCCTACCACAACATCTATCTATCTATCTATCTATCTATCTATCTATCTATCTATCTATCTATCTATCTTTGTAAACCTGTTCCTTATCTATCTATCTAGCTATCGTCAACTCTTTGCATCCAAACATATCCGGATAAATTGTGTCTCTTGGGTCTTGCACAGGGTGAAAGTGATTGTATAAAGTTTATCTATCTATCTATCTATCTATCTATCTATCTATCTCCAACCATGTGTTAAATTGTATGCCTCGTCTCAGGAAAAAATCATTTTTATTCTTAAAAAAAAACATTTATGCAATGTTCACTCCCACCAAAAAGAATTGTTCTTAAAATCCAAAATACGCTAAGATTTAAATACCCCCCAAATGTTCGATAAACCAAAAAGAAAATCAATCAATCTCTAGTAAATATCAAACGATTATTTTAACTATATAGAATGTATTTTTTTTTAAATTATAGTAAAATAAATAATCTAATTTCAACTTTCAAATGATGAAATTTACCTGAGAATACAGTACTGCGCTTAATTTCGTAAAGCCGAGGCACCAAAGTAGGAACAAAACAATTACTATGAATTACCTCCCTTGTGTTTGCTAGCTTGAGAAGGACTACATGTTTTAAGGTACTGCTTTAATAAATTCTGCACTGTATATTACATGATTCATAACGTGAAATTTTCATGTATATTAACCATCGAAATTGTGGCAAGCAAAAGTGTGCTCGAAAACCTAATATACGCAATGGCCGAATGCTAACTTCAGTGTCTCCTTCACGATTCCTCTTCAATTCAATTGCACGCGGATAAATATATTATTGTCGACCCAAAAGGCCAATTTACACCGACAAAATGGAGGACAGTTTGGAGGTATGAACTGCTTAAGTGTTGATACATTTCGCAGAAAAGATATTGTTTACTCCCAGGATTTACATTTACTGGGTGCCATGTTTACAAATTTCCGCGTACGTGCTCTCGGATATGCACACGTTTATTATTAAAGACATGTAGTTATGTGTCAAAATCAATAGGTATGCACACAAAAACACACACACACTCATGCAGCAGAATAGCTCTCACATCTAAATGTTGACAAAAAGTCTAAGCTACCAGCTATTTAAAAAAATATATATATCACTGTTATTTAAACAAAGGGTTACAGCTTTTATTCATTTGGGTTCTAAAGTTTTCCATCACCCGGAATATACTTTCTTTTAAGCGCTGAAACTGTGGACTTGAAAACCTACCTGCAACAATATCGATTTTCTATCCAGAACACTATCATTCTGAAGTAAGATGAAATGAGTACGAAAAGCTTCCTGAGTTTTAAAAAACAAAAAAAAAACTTTCAACAGCAAACGCACCGTGTGCACTGCCGGTCCAAGCCTTGATGGTAAGTGATGGTATCTGAAAACAGATAGTAAGACATTATTTTGATGAATATACCATTGCCACTTGACAATGTTCACTAGCTCCAGACAGGTAACAGTTTAAAACTTTCTGCCTCTCTCTCTCTCTCTCTCTATATATATATATATATATATATTTTAAGACATTTATATGTTTATACATTCTTTTTATAGATACAAATATTTAAGTAAATGCTCTGTTTATAATAAACAGTATTAAACAACATTTAACGGCCTGAATGTCCGAGAAATTTTCATAGAAAATATTCGTTCTCCAACAGGAATCGAACCTGTATCCTATACGGAACCATCATATACCCGGACGTGCCTTAACCGATTGTGCCACAGAGGAGAGTTTGGTTAGCAAGGTCGTTTCATATCAAATGTCTTAATCGGCTAAGAGCACGTCAGGCTAAATGACGGTTCGGTATAGGATACAGACTCGATTCATGTCGGAGGATGAATATTTTCTATGAAAATTTCTCGGACATTCAGGCCGGTAAATGTTGTTTAATACTGTCTATTATAAATAGAGCATTTACTTTATCTATAAAAGAATGTATAAACATAAAAATGTCTTAAAATAATTGTTGGACTTTGTCCATTTCATAATATATATATTTAAAGAATAAGAGGGGAGTAAATATTATGGAAATAGTGTAGCTAATTGAGTTAAACCTATATTGTGGAAATTTGAATTTGTTTTTATGTCGACATTTTAACACTAATTCATTCCTTTGATTCAATGGTTGGTTTTATTTATTGTATTTTAGTATTCTAATATTTTCTTCTAAACATAAATTGCTCCTATCTCTAAGCCTATTAGGAGTACGTGCGGAACCTATAATTTTCCAAACTTATATATATTTTTTTTATTAGTTTTCAATTGGCATGCTTCCTTGGGAAATCAAGTGTAGGTGATTTCCGTTGCTTCCGGCATAGATTCTGAGTTTTTTTTTTACTTGTACTCACTCAATACAAGGCCCAATAGGCACTCAATGTAGAGGGTTACTGAATGAATGAACGTAAGAGAAATATGTCAGAAATGAAGATTATGATGATATGCAGGATAGATAACGACTGATCGTAGACTTGAAGAGGTTAACATTGTAGTGTCGGGGAAGTCCGTGGTATGTAGTAGCGGTTCTTGGGAAGAAGTTATTTGAATGGAATTTCCTTCTTAACAACAGAATACAGGGGAAATGAATGTGATTCAACCCCGTGGACGTAGAAATGCGAGTTTCGGCTTTAAATGTCTGCATTGTTGTCACTAAAAATGAGGTGGCACTAAAATGTTCTTCCTTTAAATTGGTTGCCCTTAGTTTTAGAGCGCCTGCCTCTACTGCTGTTTTACCCATAGATTCGGAGACAAGACAAGAATACGTGTTGCAACCATGCATTCCAGTTCAGCCTCAGACTTTTCTCAGAGTGTTAAGATTACTGGTCGAACTTTCATTAAATAAGGGATACTGTTAGGTTTGACATGCAGCTTCGCTGTTGCGCCTTTCAAAGTGCCCAAGCCTGATTTAAAAAGCTCAGCAAATTCTTGCTCCAAGTCGGTTCACGCAATTTAGTTACAGGTAACCGATAGATTAATTGGCAATCTTTCCAACCAATCCCGCCCAAGAAGATCGGGTCCCAAAACGTGTACAAACAGGACTCTTAAATTATATAGGTTTTCCTCTGGTGTTTCACAGTCACCATTGCCACTCCCATAGGCTCAATGATATACACAGAATAAGTCTCAATTTTTGTAATGAAACCTTTTTCGAAAACGTTGCATTAGGTAGTTTTTAGATGAATTGCTCCTCGCTTAGCAGAGATGATTTCCATTTTACAACTGATCCCATTTAACTCGAGTTTACCCCTACAAGGTTCAGGGGGTGTCTAAATTAAATTAACCCTGTATAATTATATATCTGGTGTGTTTTGTTTTTTATGTAGTATGAATGCTTGTTTATTTTTGCACTGTTTTAAAAAATGAGGCTTGCTTTTTGATAAAACAAATTTTGCATCAGGGTGAACACTTTATGCTTTTCGTGTCATCGAAAACAAACTATTGCCATAATTTAAGCAAGCTACAAGGTTGAAATCTCGTTTTCACCCTTTTAGGGTCGAAACAGTTATTCTATTGAAATTTCGTAGAACTCTGACTCGTCAGATTCACACGTCGACGATAAGAAAGAAATTTGAAACAGACGCACCCTCCCCTTGGCTTCATAAAACCGGCGACTTTCTGCGATGACGAGGTGTTTGGGCTTGAAGTGTTCTAGCAACAAATGCTTAATTTCCTCAAATGTTATATCATGCGGCATCTGTGGTGCACGTAAATCCTCCAAGACTCTGTACATCTATGGCGGTAAGTTATCTTTACATTTTATCTCTCTTTGCTGGCCCCGAATTATGTCGTTCAACCGGTTTGGGTATGACGAAATATTTCCAGACTAGCAGCATGGTCCGGCGTTGCCCGTGCTTGATTCAAAAATCATACGACTCATACAGCAATCGCTATCGCTTGACTACCCTTTGACGTGCTGATGTTGCTACATGCCTTACTTCTTGCCTATCTCACACTACAAATTTTTTCTAAGCTCTATACTGAACATTAAATCTGTTACGAAAAAAGAACTAAACAAAATGAACACAAAATGATTAGCTTTATTAAAGGACTCGTAATAGGAAAAACCAAATGAAAAAAGAATGTTAACAACAAATACTTTTTCACACCCAGCCATTTCTGAGGAATCAGAATCACCGTTGAGTTTAAGCAAGCGAATGAGCCAATTGGAGTAAAGTGCCATGCAGATTTAAATTTTTCCCACTTGTGACGAATGCAGCTATCGATTTTTTTTTTGCATGCTAGTTAACATTCGTGTCAGTTAGAATCTTCCTGCCTATTCGTGGTTGCCAGCTATTGGCTCTCACTCTGGCCAGTAGAAAATGGCCGCAAACTACATGAAGACTGCCGTAGAAGCAAGAAAAATCGATTATTTCCACTATCGATTGGAGTTGGGAAATGCAAAGTCGGTCTTGGCCTTATCGCTAACTTGGAGCATGTGCATGTAAACACACACACACACACATCTTGCCTTTTATATATAGAGATTCTGCAGAAATCTTCAAAACGTCTAACTTTCTGAAACGGTGCTTCTGTTTTCTTAGTTCCCGTTTACAACATGGCGGATTGATATGTTTACCAAACACTGAACAATAATGGAGAACCTCGAACCGTGGCTCTAGACATCTATAAAGCGTTTGATAGGGTTTGGGACGTTGGTCTTCTTCGTAAGCGTCAGGGATACGGTATTACTGGACGATTATTTGACTTAATCATTCCTGTCTGACCGTGAAATGAAGGTCGTCCTAAACGGGTTCTCCTTCCGCTCCTTTATCACGAAAGCTAGAGATAACTGCATCTACCGCAAGGAAAGTTGGTTCTCTGTGTCATGCTAGAAAGTTTTTCTCGCCCTTGGAATATTGCTGTCATATATGGCCCTCGACAAAATCCAGAGACGAATATGCAACATGATAGGTCCTGATCTGGCATTTTCTCGACAATCGCTATCCCACAGTCGTGTCGTGGCCTCCTTCTGTCTCTTCTACAAGGCTCTATCCTAGGCTCTACACTCTTCCTGATCTTCATCAATGACCTTCCCGATGTAATCAGTTCCTAAGTTGGCTTCTACGGGGAAGCCACAACTGTTTACTCCTGCTTCAATAAATCTGGTATCGTTGACAAAACTAACTTGGCTGCTGATTTCGAAAACTACCTCCAATCTATGGTTGACTGGGGCAGTAATTGGCTTGTAAACTATAATGCTTTCAAAACGAAGCTGCTCTCCTTTACCCACCAGGGAACCCTACCCGCCTCCTATCAGAATGGCCTTGAAGGCGCCTCGTTACGCCTGATTGGTCTCACCCTGCCCATTGACATGAGGTGGATTAAATACATTGAATCAATAGCTTCATCTACCTCAAGGAAAGTTGGCTCTCTGTGTCGTGCCAGAAGGTTTTTCTCGTCCTTGCATGGAATAATGCTGTCATATATGGTCTTTGACAAAATCCAGAGACGAATAAGCAAGATGACAGGTCCTGATCTGTCATTTTGTGCCGTGGCCTCCCTCTGTCTCTTCTACAAGTATTTTAACGGCAACTGTTCCGACGAGCTACTTTCGCTGGTTCCCAGACTACATGAATTTAAGCGTGCTACTAGGCTGGCATTTCAGTCCCACTCTTTCACTGTCAAAACAGTTAAAAGTAACCATCTCTTCTTCTCAAACAGCTTCTTCTCCTACGCTTCCCATCTGTGGAACTCCCTTTCCCTTACTTGTTTCCCCGATGACTATAATTGTCAAATGTTCAAGTGTAATGTCAATCGATATCTGACATTCTGAGCTTGTTCCCCGTCCTTCTCTGTATCCTTTCCTCAAACACGCCCTCTGCTTCATTCTCGGTCGATTCTCTGCAGCTTATTCGCCGAAGGCCAAAAGAAAGGCAAAATTGAAGAGAGAGAGAGAGAGAGAGAGAGAGAGAGAGAGAGAGGATGAAAAGGGAAATAAAAAAAATGGAGAGAAACGCCGGTGTAATAGGTTTGATTTGACGCTGTGACAGAGAGAAAGAGAGAATAAAAAGAAAGATAAGAAATGGAGAGATAATCCGGTATAATCCGTTTTCTTTGTAGGTATGAGAGAGAGAGAGAGAGAGAGAGATATTTAGAGAGAGAGATAGATATTTAGAGAGAGAGATTTAGAGAGAGAAAAGGGAGAGTGAATAAAAAAGAGGTAAGAAACGGAGAGATAGGTCATTGTAATTATTTCGCTTTTCGATATGAGATATATATATATATATATATATATATATATATATATATATATATAGAGAGAGAGAGAGAGAGAGAGAGACAAGCAGAGAGATACGACGGTTAATCGGTTTGCATTGTTGGTATGATGGAGAGAGAGAAAATAGACAGAGACAAAAGAGAGAGAGGGAAAGAGAATAGAAAGAGAGATAATCCGTTACCCCTGCCAGAGAGATAGATTGAGAGAGAGAGAGAGAGAGAGAGAGAGAGAGAATAGAAAGAGATAATCCGTTACCCCTGCCAGAGAGATAGATTGGAGAGAAATGGAAATGGAGAGATTGGCCTGTGTAATCTGTTTGCTTTATCGGTATGAGAGAAAGAGAGAGGAGGGAGAGAAAGAGAGAGACTAAAAAGAGAGAAAATAAATGGAGAGATAGGCCTGTTTAATACTTTTGCTTGTCTGTATGAGAGAGAGAGAGAGAGAGAGAGAGAAAGAAGAGAGAATAAAAAAGAGAGATAAGAAATGGGGAGATAGGCCGATGTAATCCGTTTGATTCGTTGTTATTAGATAGATAGATAGTTAGATAGATAGAGACAGAGAGAAAGAATAAAAAGAAAGGGAGAGGTAGGCCTGTTTAATACGTTTGCTTGTCTGTATGAGAGAGAGAGAAAAATAGATACAGAAAAAAGAGAGAGGATATAAAGAGAGATAATAAATGGAGAGATAGGCTGGTATAATCCGTTTGCTTTGTCGGTATAAGAGAGAGAGAGAGAGAGAAAGAGAGAGAGAGAAAGAGAAAGAGACGGAATAAAAAGAGAGATAAGAAAAGGAGAGATAGTCCGATGTAATCCATTTACTTGTCTGTATGAGAGAGTGAAAGAAAGCGAGAAAGAGAGAAAGAAAGATAAAATAAAAAAAGGGGGAAATATAAAAAGGACAGACTGGCCAGTTTAATCGTTTTGCTTTTTCAGTATGACCAACTGGAAAAGTGGAAAAATTACCGCCATTTGTTCACCGAGCAGCAATCCAAAGACAAACTGACGTAAACAACATGTCATCAAAATTTATTCAAAACATTTTCCTTACGTGTTCTCTGTTTTCATGGCTGAATAGCAACAGCGGATCTCGCTTCTGTTGCTATTCATAAAACAAGCTGCCAAGATATTCATTTTTCCCCCGTTTACTCACCACGTGAGGTAAAAGAGCGCATTGCGCTGTGCAGATGAGATGAATCCATATTAATATCCAACATTTGGCTTTTCCAAGACAGAGAAAACCGGAATAATATTATTTCGAGCTTCCTGTATTTGTGGCAAAGTGGTTTCTTTAAAATAAAACCGGAACTCTGCGAAGAGGCGATTATATTAAGCATTAAGGAATTCTGAAACCTTTCTTGCAAACAAAAAAGACAGAGGAAAATAGAAAAGTAAAAATGAACGTTTTTTTTATATATATTCCCGTTTTTACTGTGGGCTTAACTTAAACATTCGACAACATTTATTAGCCGCCTAGAATCTATCTATCTATCTATCTATCTATCTATCTATCTATCTATCTATGTATATATATATATATATATATATATATATATATATATATATATATGAATTGATTATCTATCTATTTATTGATTATCTATCTATTTATCTATCTATTTATTTATTCATTATCTATCTATCTATCTATCTATCTATTTCAGTCTATTTATTATCTATCTCAGTTTATTTATTATCTATCTATCTATCTATCTCAGTCTATTCATTATCTATCTATCTATCTATCTATCTATCTATCTATCTATCTATGATTATAGATGTGTATGTGTAAGGAAAAAAGATGTATATATTTTTATATACCTGAACAATGATGACGAAGTGCTAAATATTTTCAAGTGACGCGTTGCTTACTTTAAGACTTCATCTGACTCAGGTGATATTTACGTAGTCGTGACTAGACTTTCGCACAAAGGAGAGGGGAGGATGGAATTTGAAATATGTGTTTCACTATATAGCCTTACTGATCTGATTTAGATTCTTTTTCTATTTCTTCAATGCTTTTATTACTTTTTTGATTAAGTATTCCATATTGTAATAATAAAAGATCAGAAATGAATATAAATGTATTGTCGATGATCTAGCGATTAAAACACTTTCTATGGACACTAGTTTTATTGAAATCTTTTATTGAAATCTTATATATATATATGTATATATATATGTATATATATATATATTTGTAGTATAAGTACGGGCGATAATGGGTATATCCCCATTCACATAAATACAGTAGTAAATACTGTATGCTGGTCTGCAGTTGGAGATTCGTTGTGGAATTCATTTGACTCACTTCTAGCAGTTGACTACTTCTACGCGCAGCAGACGAATCTTATATGTGTTGTTCGTGTCCTAAGTATTATCATTCATTACAGGCCTACGTTTGATTATTCTGTACCGTGAACTTTCCTAGTATACATACATATATATATATATATATATATATATATATATATATATATATATATATATATATATATGTGTGTGTGTGTGTGAGAGTGTGTGTGTCTCTGTGTGTGTTTTAGCATAAAACAGTATGTCGCGTCTGACTGTTGACTGCAATGTTCACTTTTATATTTTCATACGCTCTATCTCTGAAATTGAGCATTTATCCCATAAATATATCATACATTAAAACTATGTTACTTCATATATATATATATATATATATATATATATATATATATATATATATATATATATATATATCATTGAATAGTATAGACATATTATATTTACTTATTTTATACTGATCCCTTCGGGTTCTCTAAGCAGTTTTCTATGTTAAGATAAAACATATGAAGGAAGGCGCTGTAATTTTTCTACCCAAGTACTTTCGATCTCTTGTAAGATCATCTTCAGACGTAAATTACAAAGACAAAGATATTGCAACTACGATAAATTCTGAAATTCGTTGTGATGGTGATTTCAAAAAAAAAAAAAAAAGGCACACGTAAACGCACTTTTTTATAATTTCCTTTTAAGGCAATTCACCCCCAAGCAATGCCGGAATGCCTCAACCGAGAGTGTAAGTAAGAGTAAAGACCTGGTATGGGGTGGGGGTGAGGAAAGGATAAAAAAGAAAAACGGAGAAGGGTAAAAAGTAGATCGGGGGTTGAGGTATGTGAAGATGTTGATTGACATTACATTCAAATTTTTGAGGATTATATTTACCAGGGAAGCAAGTAAGAGGAAGGGATTTCTAGTATCAGGAAGTGCGAGAGAAGCTGTTGGATTAGAAGAGGCGGTTATATTTAACTGTTTCAACGCTAAAAGGGTGGAACCCAGATGCCAACCTTGTAGCATGCTTAAATTCTGACAGTCGGGGCACCAGTGAAAACAGCTCGTCAGAACAGATACAAAATATTCATAGAAAAGACATTACGTCGGTGAGAAAGTGACTGGAGTCGAGATGCCACGTCAGGACCTATCACATTGCATATACGTCTTTGGATTTTCTCGAGCACCTCGAAATAAACATTGGAGGACACCAGACTATATATTGCAACAGTATTTCATACATGGACGAATGGTAGATTTGTAAATGTGAAAGATGATGGAATCAGATGAGAGAAGAAAGCTTCTGACAAGACACGAGGAACCAACGTTTCTTGCGATAGATACAGCAGTTGATGCAATGTGGTTGTTCCACCTCAGGTCAGTGGAGAACGTGAGACCAAGAAGGAATCAATATTAGAACAAGGTCTGTTTGTTAGAATAGATAACACAAGAATACAATTGATAAAAAATGTGGTGTGTTATAGAATGGCTCGAAATCAACAAAGTCCTGGTTGATTGAGCTTGGCTAAGTCACAGAGAGAAACGTAAGTTTATATTATGAACTTCTGTGTCTGTGTGTGCGTTTGAAATGTTATGAGCAAGTTCGTAGACTTGTATGGACAGGGGAATTTTAATGGATCTTACTGACGACTTGTGAAAATGTCACCTCGTTTATGGAAAAGGGGTAGGCTCCCACGGCAACGCAGGAAAACTTAAAATTGCACTAAAATATGTGATTGGCTAAAAATTAACCAATCACTACATTCGTACTAACAGTACAAGCAAGCAAGCTCAAAAACCGAAGGATTCAAAGAAACGACTGCGATGGCTAAATTATCCTATATAAAGTAGTAGTAATTTATTACCCAATCGCAGGCGAATAAAATGTGGGTGTGGAAAAACATAGAAATCGCTACACACACACACACACACATATATATATATATATATATATCGCCATCTTATATCTTTAACTTTACTACTCTAATTTTTTGTATGAATGGTTCATTGTAATATATATATATATATATATATATATATATATATATATAGATAGATAGATAGATAGATAGATAGATAGATAGATGTATATGTGTGTGTGTGTGTGTGCAAATGTATCAAAAATACTTTTACAAAGTTTTGGGGGACTGGTTCCTCACACTCACACTTGTGCTATTAAGTTTAAAGTAAATTAAATTTGATAGCGCTGTGTTGGCATATAGACTAAGTTACATTTGTCATTTGTGTACATTTGTGGCTAGTCGGTCTTCAACCTTTAACATTTGTAGTAGTGAGTTAACTCAGAAGGGTTTCCTTTATGATACTTCTATCGTGAGCTGGCAGGTATGATTTTATATATGGCCGCGCGAATGTTAATGGATGCGATTCTGCACGCCTATATTAGATTGCGTTACTCGACCAAAGGCAGCCGACTCATCCAACCATTGCTGTTGTTTATCGTCGCTTTGCTGAAACACAATCCGTGACAACACAAACTATGGATGAAGAAAGACTGAGAACCGCTCGTGCACCTAACCACGACGAAAACATTCTTCAGCCTGTCGGAGACGATCGAGTATCAACATACGTCAAGTGGCCCTAGCATGTCGTACCGCATAGAGGTTATTTTTAGGAGCGACTCATGTTGCTTCTTTAGTCTTGTTTACGGAAGAGGCAACATTTGGAAGTGATGAAATAAAATCAAATAACGGATCGGAACCCACATGCTATAATATAGGCTAGACACTAGCACGTATTTAAGATTAGTTGTGAGCTGGAATTTTAGGTTACTGTCTGGTAGGTCCATATGGTCTCCCAGTACGTCTTACAGGAAGGGTTTACAGGGACTTTATTTCGAACGCAATTCCCGACCTGCTAGAGGATGTACCCCTGCTCATGCATAATGAAATTCCAGCACATTTTTTTTTATTTACATTGTTCGCCGTTTACTGGCTGATATATATATATATATATATATATATATATATATATATATATATATATATATATATATATATATCATATATATCATGAAAGATGAATAGATAGGGGAGGACAGGTTCCATGTCCAGCATGTTTCCTCGTCCTCAGTCCATTTGGAATTTTATTTATGGGGCAAACTCAAACTTTTACTATATTCAGGAGACATTAATAATGCAATGACGCTTAATCAATGGGTCATTTTTTCGAGTTTCTTTTAATCCGTGTACAAAATGGATTAAAAAGATGCGAAAAAAAAAAAGAAGAAAAAAATTGGAAATAAATTTATTCAAATAACAGACCCCTTAAAGAATGGACAATTCCAAGAAACTTCAAAGTTGGGGAAACAACATCAAAAATTGATATTTACAGTTAAGTAATTTTATCATATTATCGATGCTCTATTTTAATATTAACACTATTGTAATATCTTTTAATATTGGGCAATATATGAAAATATCAAAATATATATATATTATATATATATATATATATATATATATATATATATATATATTATTTCTTATTATAAAACGCAGATTGTTTGTGTGTGTGTCTGTACGTTTATATATTAGATCGAATTTCCTACATTTTTCAACCGATTTCAACAAAACTTCACATTGGGGGGGGGCAGGCAGTGTTTCTTATTGTCTTGCACACTTTTTTCTTTATTTTTACATTCATAATGCTTTAAA